TCGCAGATCCAGCCTATGCCTGATTTAATATTTGGTGTTAGACAGTCTTTGATAGAACCGTCAGTATAAAAGATTAAGTTGTCTAAATTAGAATTTCTGATTGAGGAGTAAAGTTTGATTAGTTGATTTTTATATGAGGTTGATTTAACAGTTTGTTGAATAAGTTGTATTTCAGGAGAGTTTAAGTTTACTGAGGGATAAGAAAGAGGTAGGGGTTGGAGAGAGGTGTGATTGTTAATATGAATAAGTGAGAGGATTTCATTGAAGTCAATTTGTAGTAAGTTTTTAGTGATTTTAATTTGGTTGTATGGAATACTAATAGATTGAGAGTTTGAGATTATTGGAGATAGAGTAGAAGTGATTGACTTATATTAATTTTATTAAGTTAAGTTTAGATCCTTATCTCAATCTTAAAACTAAATTTATTCTTAAGATAAATCTTTTAAAGTTTTCTGTATTTTTATTTACATTTAATCTGGTTTTACTATAACTAGAACCAATATTTGCAATTAGAATTAATTATTAAATCATTTTATTTTTGTAAAGTTTATATAATTTTAGTATCTTTTTTTATAATTTTATTAATGTTTTGTCTATTCTTATAAGTTTTCTTATATTATCAATTCAATAAGTTCTGCATAATGCAAATTTATATCCAAATCAATAAATAATTAGATTAGTAAACCTCTTTTACTTAAGAGTTTTTATTTATATAAGTTATCTTTTTTAGATTTTCTTTTTCAGATTAAGATCTTTATAAATAATATTATTAAAGTTATATTATCTTTCTATTTAAGATTTTTAAATAAGATTTCTTATAGAATATATATTTTCTGAATTTATTTATGATATTTTATATTTCTAAAATTTAAGATTATAACTTCAAATATTCTATCTAAATTGCCAAAATAGGATTATTTTTTAAAAATTTTGTTATTAATAAAATTTGAACTTTGGATTTACTACTTGAAGAATAACAACCTAACCGCTATATTAAGATTATTATCTTTTATTTTAATTATTTATTTTAATAAAATAAAATAAATAAATAAAAATTATTAAAAAACTAACTAAAATGTTTCTCAATATTATTTATAAATTATTTTTAAATAAAAACTTATAAAACATTTTTAAAGAAATAAATAGATAAACTAGATAACAAGATATATAAAGAAATATATAATAATCAAGTTGTCAGAATTGCTAAAAGAAAAATAAATATATCATATTAAGCTATTTAAATTAGTAATTTAAGAAATTCTGTAGATTTTAAGTAGTAATTAGTAAAAAATAATAAAAAAAATATTAAAAATAAGTATTAAGGTTTGAATAAATTTTATAAAGATATAATAGTTTAATGATTTATCTTAACTGTAAGTGCTAGTTTAAGCTTATAAATATAAGATACAAAAAACTTTAATAAGTTTAATACAAAATTAAATATGACTTAGTAGTTATAACATATTTGTACTAAGATGCAATTGATAAAGTAAGAATGAATATAGAAACTAAAGTGTTTAAATAAAGAACCTATAGACAGGTTCTAGGTATGACAACTAGTGCAAAACCTTTAAGTAGACTACTTAACTTAGACAATAACTAAAGTTGTACAAGTAATTATTTGTATATTCTTTTTATATTATTCTTGTAATTGTTGTACACAACAACTACAAGCTAAATACTAGCAATAAACTTTTAAATTGCATATACTTACTTTAATATTAAAAAAAAATATTATTTTTAAAATTTTATCTAATGCTAAAGAATTTACAACTTTAAAAATTAAAATAACTTCTTATAAATAAATTAAAAAAATAAAATTTATCTAAATTTTACATATTGTTACAAAATAAATTTTAACATAGTATATTATAAAATAGTATTAGTAATATATATATATTTATTATTGTATTTTATATTATATTTATTATTAGTTATTAGTTAGTTAATAGTTATATTATATAGCAGATAGATAAAAGGATTTTAATTAGCTATTAGGAATATAGTAACATCTGTAATATTACTATCATCTTATAAATTCCAAGTACTTCTGTATAAGTTTCATGTATCCTAATACTAAATTACTATGCTAAGTGCCATAGTACAAGAATCTCAAGTATTCTTAATATAAACTTCAAATGTTTCTGTACAAATTTCAAGTATTCTTATACAAATTTCAAGTAATTTTGCATAAATCCAAGTGCCTAAATACAAACCTCAAGTGTTTCAAATATGAATGACAAATGATGTAAACAATATCCTAAGTTGTCTCTACATAGTTCTCACTACACTAAGTACAGTATTATTTAATATTATTCAAACCTCTATTGTTCCAAGTACAATGATATCTAATGTTGTTCAAACTTCCATTACCTCAAGTATAATATTAAGTAATATTGCTTGAATCATTATTATTTCTACTAGATAAAAAGATATATAAAGGGTACCTTTTATTTTTTCTTGTCAATTTCAAGTTTCTATACTTCAATCTAAACCTTCTTATCTTTACTTCTAGCTTGTAAAAGTGATATTCCCTTTTTAGGATAATTTCTACAAGCAAGATTGTTACTATGTATTTATTTAATAAAAGTTAATCTATATATTAATACTATCTTAAACTGTTTGTCTGCTATTGTGTAGTAAAGTGAACTACTACACTTTTACCTCATATATATTTGCAATAGTCAATCACTGTACTGGGTAACCTTATTACTTGATTGTATTGTACTAAGAAGACTATAACCCTGTAATAATATAAAATATAAATGTATCAATTATTTAACTTGTAATTAAAAAAATATTTAAAAAAATAGAAACTTAATTAAAAATTTTATATACAAACTAGCTGCAAACCTGTTGCTACACAATGGAGAAAAAAATAGTATTAAATACAATTATAAAAACCTATACAATTAGTATTTAATTAAACTTTATTAAATTGAATATAATTCTAATAAAATTTTTATTTAAATTTAAGTATTAACAAATTACAAATATTTTAGTTACACAATTGTATTTATTTATATAGAGTAATCTAAGCGTTACCTTGCAGCTAAATGTTATATGCAAATTTTTTTATAATATAGTATATATGCAAAAATACTGTTCCTGATAGATCATCAGTACTGTTCCTGATAGGGTGGGGAAAAAAATTGATCTACATCTTGTTTCTGATAAACTGCCGGGTGGATGTTACACAAACTGTCAAATTAATCAAAGCATGCTAATGATTATCAATCTTTTAGATATTGAAACTTTTAATCATCAAAGAAATCTAACTGTGCAAAGAAACATTTTACTTAACTTTGTTACGAAATTATACTGCTACTTTTTTTGATATACCCGATTGCTTATTACAGTATTGTCGAATTATTGCGATCAGTGGCATCTGAATTTGCCAATATTAATTATAATTAAGTATTTAAGGTGTGACTATAATTTAAAGCTCTTGATTTTATGTGAACAAGCTACGTGAATTTTTTTTTTGTCTATCAGATGAAAAAAATATTTAGTTGTATTAAGCATAAGTGTTGACTTTTAAGATTTATATAGTTGTCATGTATGTGAACTATCTACTTATTAAGGAATATACAAAACTCAATTAAGAGATTAATTAATACTGATGTATACTACAAACATCCTGCTTAATCATGCAAAACAATTGGTTCCAAGGGAAAAGGGCACCTTCGTTGTTTTAAGCAAATATAATTTTAATATCCTTTTCCCTTGGCAGCCTTATATAAGACAGCTATCTAATAAATAGAATCTATGGTGCTTTTATTTTATTTATTTTGTTTAAAAAAAAATTGTTCTGACTATAATACTCACTCTTATATTGCCTATTATTCTCTGGTGTAAGTTTTTCTTCCTTGTTTTCTTCCTGTTGGATATTGGAATTGTTTGTTGAAACATCAGCATTCTCTTGAACAGTAAACATCAATGAGTTCTATGCTTCATTTCTGTTAGCATTAATGTTAGCATGACAAGCAATTCAATTGAATCTTACTTTTAGAGACCATAGAGGATCACTCAACAAATGCACAAGATTCTTAGATTGAAAATTGACTGATCTGTTATTTAAGAAACACATATAAGCATACAGTGGTGCATGCCCTGAATTGATGCATAATTACAAAATAATCCTGCTAAAGGATTTTGGATATACAGATTTTTCAACTAAGAATTCATAAACTCATATTCATATCTACTGTATTCTTCCTTATAAACTAAGAATTCGTAAACTAAGCATATGTTTTCTTATAAACTGAGGATTCATAACCCCAATTCTTTTTTATAGACAAAGGAATTTTGGAATCTCATAGTTCTGTATAATTATCACATATTTATTGAGAATAATTCATATTTTATAAAAACAGCTTTGCACAAGTACAATATATATAGCTATTTTAAGTTGTTTAAGCTGTTATTGCATTAATTCATTTCTTTTGTTGGAAAGAGAAAGAGGAAAGCAAAGCATAAAGACAAGACTAAAGTTAAGTATATTACGTTTCTTTTGCATTCTTCGCCCAGATTTTTCTATTACTAATCCACTGATATAATTTCACACCATTTTCAACAGAATTATCATTCAAACATAGTCTTTTTGTTATCACAGCATTTGTAAACTCTTTTGGATTCCAATCACACCCTTGTTCAAGAAATAATTCTTCTAATGATCTCTTCATCGCTAAAGCCATGTTATTTTCTTTTCCGCCATTTGATGTACATGACTAAAAATAAAACTAAAAATAAGTATATAACAATAAATAAATTAAAGTAAAATTAACTAATGCTAATAGACCTACAGATTGAGTGGAAGCTTTATGCTTATTACGAATTCTTGTAGTATTTCGTCTATGAACAGAAGGTGGAAGTTCTATAAATTTAAATATGTTAATAAGAATTCTTAAATTAATTCTAATATACTTGTTGAATTTAATACCTTTATATTCATCACTCTGAGCATATTTTGCAGATTCAGCAAAAGAGTCATCATATTCGTCATCATAAGCATTAATATTTTCAGTATCGCAAGTGTAATCTTGGTCGAGGTTGTTTAAATAATTCTTTGGTAACTTGTTATTTAGAGGTTTTTCAACAAGATTTGAAAATCAGCTAGGTTTGCGATATTTTGCTCTATGTATTTTTGGTGCTTCGACTGTTGTAGAAATTGAAATATTGTTAATTGGATGAAAAGGATTTTTCGTAGTTGTTTGATGTTTATTTGGAAAAAAAATATCATTATCTACAGCATTAAAGAGTCATAAAATCTCTTGATAGGCTTTTTCACTGGACTTATTGTAAATAAGATAATTTTTATTCTCTGATGCAATTGCTCTCTCCTTATTTTTGAAATGCTCTACTAATTTTTCTTTAATATCTTGTTTTTGTAGTTTTCTACGTGATAAGTCTATATAAATTCGTGCTGCATAAATGTGTTTACAAGCATCTCTAAATGATCCATTCCAGACATAATCATAACATATGCACTCATTAGTTGATATATTAATGAGATAATGAAATACTGGTATATTAATATTATCACGGTTGATTAATTTAATAATCATCTTATCAATTTGTTCTGACACCTCTGTTGAAATATTAATGTAATGATTATTATAAGATGAGCAAAATATTGTGCTCTGCTTTTTAACAAACATATAATTTGTTTGTTCGGATATTGGAATAATGAAATCAAGTAGTGCATAAAGGCAACCTTGATTTATACGATGTTTTTGATCGATCAGCTTTTTGAATGGCATTTGTTTGTATTCGATCGTACGCATATTCCAATAAGTTGCCAGACCCGTATCAGATAAAGTTTCATCTAGCTCACTTTGAACCAATGACTTTTTAATAAATTTGACACCATATAAATGTTCAATGAATGATAAAACTGTTTGAGTTCCGCTGCACCATGATTCTATAGTTTTATTCATTCTCTCTGTTAAGTTATTTGTTGTCATCAGCTTTGCTCTAGTTAAAGCATACATTTGCAGTTCTCGTCCTCCATCAATAAAACCTTGCCTCCATTCATCGCAAATCCAATTCATTTCCAAATCATGAATCAAAAGATTTTTGACATTGTCATCAAGTAGTAAAAAGTATATAAACTTCTTATATTCGTTTCTCATTTCAACTATCTCATTATCAGATTTACTCTGGCCTACAATTTTAAAAACCAATGCTATAGGATATTGTAAATTCCAATCAACTTTCCATTGTTGTAAATGTTCTTCTAAAGTTGACATTATATGAAACCAACATAAAATAGTACCACGAACAAGATTTTGTAATGCAAGTTTGGTCAGCCGATGCTTATCCATTATAGCCAACGGATTCCAATATGATATACATTCACGTATACGCTTAAATCCCCATCCATCTGGCAAATCAATATATCAATATTGGTGCATACAATGAGGATTATTGCATGGAATATTAGCCTTTACTGCCTGTACTGCTAACTGTATTGTATAATGGTTTTCTTTATTACTAAAACCGAAAGCTAGTGAAGAACTATATCCAGCCTGATCCTTGATAACCATAGACAATACTGGTGCACCTTCATTATATAAATCATATTTACCATCAATTTCAAAACAGAATTGTCCATAATCATGGCCTTGACTAAGCCATAATTCATCACTTAAAGTTAACTGATAATAGTATTCTAGACTATTTTTTGAAGCTGAGATGTCCTGATGTTAGTAATAAAGAACTTTTCCTTGTATTTTCAATTCCGAAGTAAGCAATTGATCCAAAATAATCCACAGGCCAGCATCTTCATGTAATCGATGATCATCTCTTTCAATAACCTTTTTAATTGTTGTTCATTGCACAAATCTTTGCCTGATTTATGCACATGTCGAAGATTGATCTCGTTTGCATTATTGTATGGGAATAAGACTTTTAATGCAATTTCCATTCCAGAGGTATGGTGTCCATGACGTGCAGCTATTGCCATATCACGAGTTTGAAGACTCAAATTGATTCTGCCTAACTTTGATTCTGCTGCAGGTATTGACAATGATCTATGTGTACCCTTAATAACTAACTGTATTGGTAAAGGTTCTTTAATATTAGAAAGCATAACTTTCATAATAATCTGAACTGCGCATTTGTGCATGTCAAAATTATTTTTAAGGTTATTTTTTAAATAAAAATTTGAACATTTAGATTTACACTCTCCAAGTCCACTACATGCTTTTTCACAATTATTACTGCCATCACAAAAAAGAAACCATCTCCATACTGTTAGATCTGATGACATGTGTTGTTTTATTTTAATCACATGATTACGACCTTTATTGGTAAGCTCAAGTATATCGTCTAATCTATTTGTCGTTTTGATTTGTCCTTTACTAGTTTTCCATACAAGATAATCGATAGCACCTTCAATCTGTTTCAAAGTAATAAGTCCAGTCTTGACATTTTCATTGACATAGAACCGACTTGTTTTTTTGAGTTTACAATTTGTAAATAAAGGTAGTAAATTAATATATGTTTTAACTGCATGTCTGAATGGTAAATTAACGCTTCCATCACTGTTAATACAATGTTGAGGAAGTGGATATATTGTACTCATTATCTAAAAAAAAATAAATAAATAAATAAAAAAGAAAAAAAGAAAAAATTGTAATAAACCTTTAACTATTATAAAGTATTTCAATTAACTACGTATTTTTTAATTAATGTGATAATATATTTCAACTTATTTAGGTTTTAATTTTTATATAACAGCATAAGTTTGATAATTTTGCACTATTATATATCCACTTGAAAGTAGATATCCTCTTTCTTCTATTATTCTCAATTTAAATATACTTAACGCGTTTATTTTGTTAATAACACCGTCTCACCTACAAGTTCACGAGACAAAAGCATACTTAAATGAAAGATGTTCCTTTTTATACTTATTACATCATCGATCACTCTTCACATCAGTTAAAATCTAGCGAACAATATACTTATTACTATTTGTGTTTAAAATGCAATGACGATCACCTAAATAAATAAATTACTTTGATCAATAATCGATCGAATTAAAAGCACCACGTATACAGATATAACGAATGATAAGAAAACCTGAAATAAATATCAGGTTCAATAATTCTCCCCAGTGATTAATCATATTATAATAAAGAATACAAATTATGCTGGGACTTCTATAGTTATTAATTGGTAATAAATATTACACAATTATTATGTTATATTTTAAGGTAGTAGTTTATTGTATTTGCCGATTTCTAATTTTGATATACTGTAAATAAAGAACACCTTAAATATGCGCTGAAATAATTAGATATGATTGGGTTTTTATAAGGTATTGAATAATCGGTTGTAATAAATCAAGAAGCATTGAAATAATTAGATATGATGGTTTTTATCGGTTATTTTTTTTTTTTATCTATCCCAGGTGAAGCACCATGGGGCGCGTGTGGCGCTCTTTATTATTAAATATATTTACAGA